TTTTTTTTCTCTCTTTAGGTATTCATGTTTGAGGAAGAAGAAAGAATTAGAAGAATAAGAAGAGAAGGAAAAGGGAGAAGAAAGGGAAACGGGCAAAGAGAAGTAGGAGAGAGAAAGAAGAAAGAGAAAAAAAAAGGATGAGAGAGAGAGTAATTAGTTATTAGTTTAATTTTTTAATTAATTGTTCGTAACTTCTATTAACAGTTACAATTGATTATTTTATGGAATGAAAAGGAATAATTGTGGAATTCTATCAAACAGGGCTCTTTATGAAAATGATTTGTAAAAGTGAGTTACTTACCTTTTTTTCCCATAATTTTTTGGCCAATTTACAAGTATGCTACACGTTTTACAAGTAATTGCGTATTTGGCGGCAATGGAAATATTTTGCATTACTACCTTAGATCTTACCAAAAAAAATGAACCTTTAATTTATGTTACTATCTCCATTAGGATTAAAAAAAAAAACATATGATATAGACAGAAAAGATTAATAAAAGACTCAAAATAAGGTATATAATAATTTCTCTTTCACTCTATTACTTCTCGATGAAAAACTCTAGTTCTCATATATGTCTCTTTCTCTTGTCATCTCACATTGCTCTTTTTAACAGTGCCGGACAGATAAGCGGGCAAAGAGGCGGAGATGCCACGCTTCCTCAAGATCTAGGCCAAGGCCCACAACTCAACGAGCTTGTCGCCAATCAGAGCCGCGTCTAGTCGCAATCGATGATTTTCGAGCTGAGCGCAAGGGCGGAGAAGAAATATGCGGGGAATTGGGGGAGATATCTCTACAATCCAGTCCGAGATGCGACTGGTGTCGGAGTTCAAGTCCAATATCAAGGCGGCGCGGAGGGGGATCCAACGAAGAAGATGGCCATGGTCATGGTCATGGTCGCTGTTTCGGGTCTTAATCCGAGTCTTGGATTCAATTGGATCAATTTAAATCATTTTCGAATTAATATTTATCTAATGTTTATTAATATTTTATGTTTGGTATATGACCGGTTTATGTATTGGATATTTAGGTATATGTTTCGTATACGGAATCTGAAAATTTTGGTGTTTTTTAAGTGAAACTGTTAATGAATAATATAATCATGAGCTGAAAAACAAGTTGTATTGTTTGTTATTTATCTGGTGGTGGATAGTTCTTAATGTATTGTATATGTTAAGTGCTTGATATGTGATCAGTATTGTTATGACCAGTTAAATAGTTTATGTTTGATATGTGATCACTTTATGTATTGTTATGAATGGTTCGACATCACCAGAAGCCTAAATAAAATGTTTAAAAATGTAACATAATAAAATGTTTAAAAATACAACATATACTAAAATATACTGTCTATAAAAGCAACATATACATAATTATGAAAAATATCCAAAACAACATAAACAATAATCAGCAAAAAAAAA